ATCCTAAATCAATATTTTATTGACCTTCCACCAATTCACTCTTTACCTCTTGAACAACTGTTTGAATGGGTAAAACGTAGATTTGATTATGGATTGTATGTTAATGGAGAAATTAAAACCCCAATAAAAAATGTTACAATGGAAGATTATTATAAGTTTATTGAACCTCTTTCTTTTCAAATTAATGAAGAAATTAAATTCTTAAAGCCATTTACTTTATTACCTACATCTCGAGTTTCGAGTGAAATAACAACTCCAAAAAAAGGTTTTTTTATTTCAAGAAGTAATAGTAGAACTCGTGAAAGTAGTAGTTTATCATCTTCTCCTCAACGCTCATCTCCATTGAAAGTAGTAAAAAAAGAAAGAAAAGGATTAATACAATCATCAGGTATAAAAGAGTCTTCTAGTTTTAATAATTAATTCCTTTTTTTTCCTTTTTGTGTTTCTTTTTATCTTTTTTTTGTAAATAAAATACCAAATTTAACGATTTAAAAATAATAACTACCTCTTCTGTTAATAAAAATATTTCATTTTTAAATCATTTTTTGACTTATGGAATTTTATGAAATACTTCTGTTCTTTTAATAATTAATTTAATTATAATATTATACTATAAAATTTGATTTTGATTTTGTCTTATTTTATTATAAACTCCAATTGTTTTGTAAAAAACCATAATTCCTGTTAAAAATATACTATAAATGAAATATAAAAACAATCTATTTAATAATGAAATTTCAAGTTAAGGAATAATATTCAAAATGGAGTAATAGTTATTAAATAATGTAAATAAATCCTAATGTTGAAAAACCTGAAGGTAATTCTTTAAATCAATTTCTCTTCAACTCATGAACAATAAGATTATTTTCTAGTATCATAAGAAATGAAAATAACAAAAACACATTATCTATATGAAACATAATTAAGGGATTTAGAGGATAATGATATGTTTTGAAAATTATATTATAAAATATTACTTATAACATATTATTTCTCAAAATTATTATTCAACAAAAAAGAATAAAAAGATTTGAGGTTAATACAAAATTACAAAGATAGATACAATACTGTTAGAATATTGAAAACAAATGAATATTAATTTAAACAATTTTAACAAAAGAGAAATAAAGAAAGAAGATATTTAATAACTTCAAAAACAAAAACAAAAAAAAACATAAATGTTATTTGAAACAAGTTAATTTTTTTAAAAGACTCATAACAATTTAATAGTAAAAAAAAGAACTATGAAATTTCAAAGAATAAGAAAGAAAAAAGGATGAGTGATATAAAGATTGATGATTATTTTGGCAACATTAGACTAACGGTTTGGATTAAAAGTAAAAAAAATTCAATAAAACATAATAAAAACTAATAAAATTAAGGAAAAAGATGTGTTAATAGATGATCAAAATTATATTATTTCAATTAGAAATGTTCATAAAACATATCTTTTAGGAATAGAAGGAGTTGCAGCATTACGGTTTGAAAATAATAATTTAATACAAAAAAAAGACAAATAACAATTAAGATAAATGGTATGTATTAATAAAATTAGAGGAGTAAGTTTATCAGTAAAAAAAGGAGAATTTGTATGTATTTATGGAACAAGTGGAGGAGGAAAAACAACAATGTTAAATTTAATAGGAACAATTGATAAACCATCAAAAGGAGATATTATATTATGTGATAAAAGAATAACAGAAGAGACTAAAGACAGATTACTAAGTTTTTTAAGGTTACAAAAGATTGGATTTGTTTTTCAAACATTTAATTTAATAGCATCAATGACTGCAATAGAAAATGTTGAATTACCAATGATTTTATTAGGCAAATTATCAGCAAAAGAAAGAAAAGAAAGAGCTATAAAATTACTAAAGAAAGTTGGAATGGAAAAACGAATGAATCATAAACCATCTCAAATGTCTGGAGGTGAACAACAAAGAGTTACAATTGCTAGGGCATTAGCAAATGAACCTGAATTATTATTACTTGATGAACCAACTGGAGATCTTGATTCATATAATACAGGAATAGTTATGGAATTATTACTTCAATTACATAAAGAAGGAATGACTCTATTAATGGTAACACATGATGTTTCATTAAAAAATTTATCAGATAGAATTATATGGATGAGAGATGGTAAAGTAGGAAAAATAGAAGAAGTAACAAAAGAAAAAAGAATAGAAGCATTAAAAGTTATTTCAAATAAAATACAATTAAAAAGAATTGTAATAGAAAAAGATATAAATATTATTACAGAAATAAGAACTCCAGAAGATTATGCACCAATTAAATTTCAAAATGAATTTTTACAATTAAAATAAAAATATATTTTAATTAAATGAATGAAATATATTTATTTTAAATAAGAAATTTTTTTATTTTGTTAGTTTTATTTCATTTGTATCAAAATTTGTTTGTATTTTTATTTATTTAATATTTAAAAAAAAATTGAAGTATTAATTTTTAAAAGTAAACCTCTTTTTTTTGTAAAATTTCTTAGAACATTAACAATTTAATTATTTTTATTCAACTTTAATTGCATTTATCGGACAATTATCTTCACATAAATGACATTGTAAACATTCATCAATTCTTGGTGCTGTACATATTCCATTAACTATTTCTAATACTCCAGCTGGACAATTATCCATACATGCACTACATCCAATACAATCATTTGTTACTATAATTCTTTTTCCTTCACTGACAAATATTCCCATGCACTTTGTATTAAGAAGTTCTTTTTTTTTTGTTTTTAGGTTTTTATTAAATTTCATCCCTTTCATTGCAGTTCACTAAAAATAATTCTTCTTTTCTTTAAGTTTTATTACTAACTCATTTCTCTTCTTTCTTAACAAATCACTCTCTTCTTTTTCTATCTCTCCTTTTTTTTATGTTTTGTAAATAACAAAAAAAATCATTAAATAATTCCTAATTGGATTTTTTTCAGATTCAGAAATAATTATGTTTTGTAAATAACAAAAAATAAAAATAAATAAAATAAAAAACTTATATGAAACAATGTCACTTCCGTGGGTGGAAAAGTACCGTCCTTCAACTACAGATGGTATATTTGGTCATGAATATATTCTTGAGTCTTTAAAACAATTTATTAATGCTAACCAAATACCTCATATGCTTTTTTATGGTCCACCTGGCACAGGTAAAACAACAACAGCTTTGGCTATTGTAAAACAATTATGTGGAACTAAATTCTCTGCATTAGTATTAGAACTAAATGCATCAGATGAAAGAGGAATTGATGTTGTTAGAGATCAAATCAAATCCTTTGCATCAACACGTACTTTATATACTAATTGTACTAAATTTATTATATTAGATGAAAGTGATAAATTAACTAAAGATGCTCAAAATGCACTTCGAAGAACATTAGAACAATTTTCTGCAAATTGTAGATTTATTTTCATTTGTAATGAAGTTCATTTAATAACCCCAGCTATTCAATCACGTTGTGCAAAAATGAGATTTGGTCCATTATCTCCAGATGCTTTAACAAAAATTGTTGAAAATATTACAATGAAAGAAGGTATGGAAATTGATGAAGATGCAAAAAAATCTATCATAGAAATATCAAAAGGAGATGCTAGAAGTATTATTAATACTTTACAGGCACTGTCAATGACTTGTAAACAAATTACTAATTCAACTTTATACACAATGGTTGGATTACCTACTCCAGCACAAATTGATGATATTATTTCAGAGTTATTAAGTTCACCTTATCTTGAATCTTTTACTGTTGTAGATAATTTAATTAAAGCTGGACTTTCTTTAAATGATATTATCATTCGTGTGGTACCTAAATTAATTGAAGGGAAATTAATTTCTGTCTTAGATAAAACTGCTAGAATTCAATGTCTTTACCAACTTTCTCTTATTGAGTTTGTTTATCATTCTTTTATTTTATATAATACCTAATTACTAACATATAAGACAAGCATTATCTATTGGTGGAAATGAACGAACTCAAACAGCAGCTTTTGTAGCAGCCTTTCAATTATTACAAACTTCATCTCCAATGTTAAGTTAATTGATGATTTTTACTATAAACATAAAAACTAATATAAATGTTATATAAAACGTAAAAAATCGATGATAAATGAAGTGGATTTAAGCAAAAAAAAAAGTTATTTAAAAGAAAAAACCTAACAGAAAACTCAAAAATTTTAAAATCTTTTTTATGGCTATCGTTGAAAAAGAATTACAGTATATTAAGAAAGAACGTTTCTTACAAAACAAACCTAGTACTATGTACTCTAATCCTTTTAGACTTCAGTATTTTCATAATGCCAATGAAGGACCACATGGATTAACAAGTATATTTCTTAATTACTTTTTTGATACTACAATAGTTCATATGGCACCATTAAATCCTTTAGGAAGTTTTTATTATCAATTAGATGCTTTATTAGAATATCATCCTCATATTTGTATTGGAGAAGGATATGGTGCTCTTATTTTATATCATTTCTTAACTAGTCATAAATATGATGGTAATTCAGTGTTAATGTACCTTCCATTATCTCTTGTACATTCAATTCATCTTCCATCTAAAGGAAAACATATCTTAATTTTTGATTTAAAAGAAGTTAATGAAGAAAATGCTATTAAATTACTTCCTCAAGAAGGTGAAATAAAAAAAGAAGAAACAGATAGTTCAATTTGTTTAAAGAAAGGAAATATTAGTATTTATTTAATTAAACTTAACAAACAACAGTTTGTTAATATTGAAGAAGCTAAGACAAATAAATTCACTTTAAAAAATGTTATTGAAACTGTTTGTGATGAAGACCTTGCTTTTAGCAGATTACAAGATAAAGGAATGATGATTATTAATGCATTTCTACTTACCCTTTTCTTTATTATCACATATGGACTTGTTGGTTATTCAATGAAAAAACAACAAATTAATGATTCAGAACAACAAAAGAAAGAGAATTAAAACATAATGAATTGATTTATTTTTCCTTTTTTTATTCATTTGGTTCAAATATTATAATATTACTTTCAGTTCCATTAAAACAATGTTCACATGAATATACTAATAATGCACCAAATTCTGGAATATCTTTTATTAATGAAATTATTGATGGAAGTATTTCAAATTCATATAATAATTCATTTCCACATATCGAACATTTATGTACTTCTTCTTGTTTTTTTTTATTAGACTCATTAATAAGTAATGGTTCTCCACCATATCTTACAATTTGTTTAGGATTTTCATTCATTGATGTTATAAATTTTTCCCATTGAGGGTCTGACACACTTTCAAATTCATCTTCAGAATTCTCTTCTTCAACACTCTTAAATTCTTTAATTTTTTCTAATTCAGAATCATTAAATTCTTTAATTGTTTTATATTCTTCATACCATTCAATCCATTTTCCACAACAATTTTCTAACTTTTTCTTTTTTACTTCTTTCTTTGGTTGTGAAGCAATAAGAGATGCAAATGTAGAGTCATCTATATCAATCAAACTAAATCCTTCATCTTGTGTTTTTTCTTCTTTTTTGATTATTTCTTGTTTTGGTTGGATTGAAGAAAATGCTCTAAAACAAAGATGATGTGGACAATAAAAAATTGACATATGTCTTGTTTGATCTTCTTCTATTGGACAATGAAGATATAACATTGGCTTCATCTCTTGATTACATTCACAGCATTTTGGATATTTGGTATTTAAACATTTACCATTATAACTTGATAACTCAACATTTTCTTCATCAACTTTTGAGACCCCACGGTTGGTGTAATAACCAACACTACAAACATATTTCTTGTTTAACTCCATACAAATAACAATAATAATTCAGTCAAAAAACCCTTTTTCATTTTTTTTTTTAAATTTGTCAAACGTCATTTTGTTAGATTTTAGTTCTTATTATTCATTTTAGATAAAATTATCTTATGTCTCTTAGTACTCAACAGGAAAAGTGGAAACGTTGTTTTGGAAAAAATTCATTCATTGCCACAATAAACTCAATTGAAAATGTAGACGAGTTATTTGATTTTGTTGCTCATTCAAAACCTGACTTACAACAACTGATTGTATCTATGATACAAGCAGACCATATCCCTGATATTTCAGGTATTACTTCATTAACATTTATAGACCTTAGTTTTAATACAATTAAAGATATTACTCCTCTTCTTGGATGTCCTTTATTACAAACACTTGTTCTTGCACATAATAATATTGAAAGTATTGAACCTTTAACATCTTTAAATGCTCTTAATGCTCTTGATATTAGTTTTAATTCAATCAAAGAAATAACTCCACCACCTCATTTAGGTTCTTTAAAAGCATCTAATAATCCACTAGAGCATTTGAACGTTAATAGTTCTTTACGTATATTAACTATTGATGGTTGTCCTTTAAGGAATCTTGAATTAAGTCTTAATTCATTAGACATAATAAGTATTTCTAGGTGTTCATTTGATTCTTTTAATTTAAAGTGTAAAAATCTTCAAAGTATAGTTGCAGAGTCAACACAGTTTAATAACCAAATTATTGTTCAATTACCTCACTTATTTAATTTAACTATGAACCAGTCATCACCAGACTCCATTGTTAAAGTATTATCACGAGTTACTACATTAACATCAATCACATTAGGAGGTTGTAAGTTAAAAGAAATACCAAAAGAAATATATACCCAAACTAATCTTGCTCGTCTTGTTCTTTTTAGTAATCCAATCACTAAAATTTCAGAAGAAATTGTTTCATTAATTCATTTAACATATATCGATATGTTAGATTGTTTAGTAGAAGAATGTCCTTCATTGACTAATCTTAATCAATTGGAACAATTTAGAATTTCTTATGATGAAGTTAGTACAACACCAAAATACTATGAGTCAAAGTTACCGAAACAATGTCAATTCTTTGGAAGGGAATATGGTAAATTTGATAAAATTATTGATAATTTATATCTTGGAAGTTATGCAAATGCACATAATAAAAATTATCTACAAAAAATGGGAATTACTCATATATTAACTATTGGACCATTACAACCAATATTTCCAGAGTTATTTACTTATAAACAAATTAATATTGATGACAGTGTAAAAGAGGATATTAGTATTTATTTTGAAGAATGTTTTCAATTTATTGAACAGGCAAGAAATAGTGGAGGTGCAGTATTAGTTCATTGTGCAGCTGGAATTTCAAGAAGTGCAAGTATTGTTATTGCTTATTTAATGAAAAAAAATCAATGGACTTATGAATATAGTTATAAATATGTTTTAGAACGTAGACCAATCATTTGTCCTAATAGTTCTTTTATGAAACAATTAAAAGAATATGAAGAAAAAATACTAATAAAAACATGTAATATAATATAAGTTTTATTAGTAATTTAATTCACAAGAATAATTTAATTAAAATTAAATAAAAGAAGTTATTTTAAATTAAATCAATTTTCATATCTTTAGAAAAGTCTGTTCGACATTTGAAAAGATCATTTGGATCAACATACTTAAAACCACCATCACCTAAAATAGCATTTGCAATAAGAATAACTTGATCTTTAGGAGTACAAAAGATCTTAAATAATAATGAAAGATTTTCAAACATTGGGCGTACAACAGCAGGAAATTTTAATGCTCTAACAGTATCACAAATAGCACTAACATCATACATAAATATAAACCCACCACTAATTGGAGTAATTTTTAATTTTTTAATTGTTCTAATAAATAAATCATGAAATCCATGAGCAATTCTAATTAAGAAATTTTTTTTATTTAATCCAGTTAATTTACTATTAACTATTTTAATAGTATTATTTAAATATTTGCAAATATCAATTCCAATTGAAGTTGCTCTTGGATTTAATACCCATGTTTCATCTTTTTCATCTTTAAATTTAAATTCATTTTTATAATTCATTAATTTTTCTATACAATTTAATAGCCAATTACAAAGATTTTCTACTGAAGTAGATAATGTTGATTGAATTGATTGAATTTTATTTTTAAATTGCTTATTATATTCATTTAATTTTTGAACAGAATATTTAAAACAAGGAGTTAGATTTTTTTCAAACATCACTTGAATCAATGAAATAGATTTACAAATATTATCTAATAAAGTTAAATAACTTGATAAGAATGGAATACTTTTATCTGGATGGTTTGGTTGTTTTTGTGTTAAATAAACCATTCTTTCACAACAATCTAATAAAACATAATCCAACCATTGTGTTAATGATGTAAATAATTTACTAATAACATAATCAAATGAATCTGGTAATGTTAAGGATTGTGCTCTAATTAATGCAAATGATAATTGATCACATACATTTTTAATAGTTGTAGGTTCTATAATTTTACTAAATCCATCCATATTAAGTTTAGAAACATTATCAATTTTAATAGATTTTTTATTAGCATTATAAGAGTCTTGATTTTGTTTAAAAACAGATGCAATATAATTGATTTCTGTTTCTGAATAGTTTGATGTTTTATCTTCTTCAAAAACTCGTTCAACAAGATCACTAAGAAATGCACCATTAATACCAAATGAAGTTAAACTTTTTACAAATGAATTAGTAATTTGGTCATATGCGTCATAACATTTAAATAAATATTTCCAAAAGAAATCAGGGTCTTCATCATAACCTTTATAAACATAAACACTATAAAAATTAGCTATTCTAAGTTTAAATATCTTTTGAACATATTTAGCGACAACAATATCTTTTTGAACAAATACCTTTTCTATTTCTCTTTTTTCTTTTTGAATTTGATTTAATATTTTTTTTAAGAATGCTTGAAGACATTGGTTATTAATTTTACATACTTTATTATCTATTTCTTGATCTGTTTCTGCTAATTGTTCATCTTGTCTAATATCTATTTCATCATATAAAAATGCATTACTTTTAAGATATTCTTTAACACATTTATCTCCTCCATTTAAATAATATAATAATTCTGCATAATCTTTCATTTCATTAATATTTTTTTCTGTCATAGCAGTTGAAAACTTTTTCATATATTCATTTTCTATGTATGAATAAAATTTTTCTGTATTAGCTATTCCAAGTGTTGTTTGTGGATTTTGAAGTTCTTTACATAATGTTTTTAATTTTTTTATTCGAGTAACAAAATCAATATCTGGATATTCTTCTGTATACTTCCTTGGATCAAAGTTATTATCTTTATTAAATTTTGTAAACATATCAATAATCATTGATGCTTGTCTTCCTCTATTCGCTTCAACTGTTAAATCTTGAAGTCGTTCTCCTGCTTGCATAATATCTGTTGATAATTCAGAAACTCCATTTTCTGTTTGTTTAAATTCTTCTAATGCTTTATTAAATTTCGTTCGTGCATTAGTTACTGTTGATATATGTGTTTCTTCTTCATGAACACATTGTTCTTGTAATTGTTCTACTGACCTTTTATACGCAATGAACTGATTATCAATTCTTGATTTAATAACATTTAAACATTGTAAGATTGGATCAATATCAAAAGCTTCAATCCCTTTTTCTATTGAATAGTCACATTGTTCAGATAATAACGAATCAATATAAATTTCTGGCTCAAATGTTGATTGAAGAAATACATTTGTATCTTGTAGTCGTTGTTCAATACTTTTAAGGTTGACTGGTTCTTTGTTATCCTTCGACATTTAAATTTTTTTAAAGTTCTTTATGAACTTTTGAGTTCGTTTTATAATTTTCTATTTTAAGCATTTTAAAAAGAAAATCTTTTCAAAAAATAAAACAACTTCCTTGACTCTTTCATATATTCTTTTATTACCTACTTTAGTTTTGTCATCCACTTATCATCTTTTTGACGTCTATGCCTTATTAATAAAAAAAACAAAAAACTGAATTAGCTTTCTCCACTTCTTTCAGTTAGTGTTAGCTTGTGTGTCATTTTTCTCAACACTTGCTTCTTTGGCACCTTTTCTTTTAATCAACCATTCACGAAGAGTTACTACTACAGCAAAAAGAGCTGCAAGCCCAATTAAAACAATAAACAAGCATCCGAAAATTAACAAGGTTGCTAATACATAATGAGCTCCTTTATAATTATCGGTCCAGTCTTCAGCAAAGACTCCTAAAGCAAACAACATGGCTATAATCATATTCATCTTTTCTCTTTTCTATTTCTTTTCTTTATTTTGAGTGCCTTTTTATACTGCTGTATTTTCGATATTATTAATTCTCGTATCATCTTAAAAGTAAACTATATTTTGTTAATATTAAAAACTATACTTTATTGAATGAATATCTTGAAATTCGAATTAAAAAAGACATGAAATAAATTTAAAATAGCAAAAAAATCATAACAAGTCAGTTCCGTTAGTTTGAGGTTTGTTAAAGTCAAACTTTCCAATCTCTTTGATACAATCGTTCACAATAGATTCGTAAGAATGAGGGATATGGTCAATATACATTGACATCTTTGGTAATATTCTTCCAAATGCTTCATTTGGTACTTCAAACCATTGAGGGAGATCTTCACTTGGTTTAGTTAAGTCTTCTAGTTCAATTCCATCTGGAGAAATTGGCTTAGGCACTGACTTTCCTGGAAACATTTGAATTACTCTACCAGAAGGAATAAAAGGAGGATGAGTTGTAGTAATTAAGTTTATTGCGTGAACCAATTCATCTTTTTTATTTCCAATAATTTTTAATGCAATTGTCGTTGGATTCTCAACTTGTTTAACAGAATCAACAAGCAACTCTTTAGCATGTATCCCAACAATGTCTTTAACACATTTAATCATTCCTTTAAAGTATTCAAAACTACCTAAACTTAGTCTTGGGA